ACTTTGGCACACACACACACACACACAAAAAGGAAAGTTTCTGTATGTCGACGGCACTGCGAAAAACTTGCAGCTCCGAGATTTTTAGATCGATCTTGGCGTCGTTTGCCGTTAGCCGGCGGCGTTGCCAGCACTACGTTGGTGGAGCTGCTGCGACGGAACTGACAGAACTGACACACAGACAGAGGGACAGTGGAACAGTGGGACAGACAGACTGGCAGATAGAGCGACCGATTGACTGAAATGTTGTTTGTCCTTGGAGAATGTAGCGGAAAAAACAAAATACAAATATATTAAAATGATAAATAAATACAAACAAGCATCCATAAATATGTATGTACGTAGCCGTATGTATGTTACAGTAAAGCCCATAAATCTCAGAAACATTATGAGTTTATAACGATTCGTTCGATTCGACTACACCTAATTCTGTTTTTACACGGTTTTCATTTAACACGGTTTGAAAATTACCATTTGTAAATATAGTTACACGACTTTATTCCATCTGGCGCGATTAATTTTCCACATGATCAATGTGTAAACCGAATTAGGTGTATATGTTGACTCAATCGTTCCTTTTTTAAGGAAAATCCATATACAACCATATGTCTGCATATCCGTACGGATAAGGGAAGTCTACATACGAAGTTTGGGGTCCCTAGCTATTATGGTACAGAAGTTGTCCTCATGCCCTGCCACGCCTTCGTTCGCCTATTAAATACATTTGGCGTTAAGACTATCTAGTTCGAGTACACCCTTTCACCGTTTTTGTAAAAGGTATAAAAAGACGTTAAAACGAGCGTGATTTTATCTTAAATTCAAGAACGAAACTAGTCACTGAAGAATTGAATCAAGATCAATCGAGATTTATGAAGCCTTAGCAATTAATTATATGAATAATACCAACATCAGTATTTCAACAATAAATCGAAAGTAAGAAATTTCATTTTAATGCTAAGGAAGTTAAGTAAGAATTAGTAGATTTTGTACACTATTTTATAAACATATCACATGAATAATATCGAAGAAGACGTCGCAAATTTATGTTAGATTAAGTTTTGTTAGATAATCTACTTATCGTGTAATAACAATAATAATGATAGTCCGACTGAAACATAAAATACAGAGTCTAGGTTCATTCAATTTGATCATATTATTCCATATAATCATTTTCCATAATATTTTTTATGAAAATTTAAAAATTAAAAAATTTAAGAAGAAATTTAAGAATGGATTAAGTAATTCTGTTTTTACACGGTCTTTTTTACACGATTTTCGGTATTTTCGGTTTTTGGTTTAAAAATTAAAAATTTCATATATATTGTTTCCGGAACCAATCTACCGTGTAAAAACAGAATAAGGTGTATTCCGAAAGGTATATATCGAAAAATATTCAATAAAATCTTTTTATAATGTTTCCTTACAATACAAATATTAATTTTGCTTAAAACAAAATATAGAATAATAATTATTATTCTCCCTACTTGCTCGTAATATTTTTGTATTTCTTTAATGCTTTTCGGAAGTTTTTAAGGTTGTCCAGCAAGGAAGTAATTTGATTCCTCACCGAATCTCAGTAATTTCGGTGATTATAAAGACCCCTAGCGTTCGAAGAATTCAAAGAATTGACAAAATTCAGTTTTAAGAGCGCTATGAATATGGGGATTAATGCAACAATTATTAGCTATGTACTTGTATATATTTTGAGAAAGTCGATATGTAGATCAAAAATGTCGGATTATTCAACATATGGGGACCCCACTTTATACTAAGTATACCCACACATATACATATGTACATACATATGTACGTATATGACGGTCATAATTGTGCCGTTATTTTTGCGCCGCCACACCCGCACACACATACGTCAAGCAGTGCCTCAACACCCCACTGGCACCCCCTCTACCAGCACCACCGCCCGATGAGCCAAGCTGATCTTAGCTCCATGCTCGTTCAATGCTCACCCCTCCTTCCTCCTTCCTCCTCCCTCCTCGCTCCCCCCTCCTCGCTCCAGCCTCCACCAATGACCGTTTACGTGAGCCGCTCGTTGTCTGATCTAATAAACGCCATCATAATGGCTGTTGTTGTTCGAGTTGTTGTTGTAGTTGTATGTTGTTTGTTGCTTTGTTTAATAAGTATATAGTTTCGATTATTTCATTTCAATTTTTGTGTTGTTGTGACTTCCGTCTGCGCACTTGGCATTAAATTAGAAACAATGAACAAACGATAAGCATTGAATTTGCAGAAATGCCCGTGGCTGCGATTCGTACGAGTATTCGTATTCGTTAGATCGAAATGAATTGGGATTATCCAATTACGATGCGCTGACAAACGACCCATAAGCTGGGCTATTTGATGTGGAATTGTTCATAAAATGATAACTTATGTGTAATTAGGTCTTTGGGTGAATGATTGATGTGGTTGCGGTTTATCGCTCGTTTACGTGTAAATCGGAAAAAGCAGACGCCACTCACATGAACGAACAATCCATCTTCGGGTCTTTAAAGGTTGCGCACAATTCGTTTTAGCGTTTAACAAACGGCTAAGGGAATCTTTAGAGTGTTGTTTATAAGATTTGTAGCTCCTCCTTCTGAGCTATGTTGGCTATCAACAAATGGATTTTATTAAGCTATGGCAGCTTTTTGGTGTAAAGAATATTTGAGATTTATAATTCCCAAGTGGAATTTCTATGAATTCGTCCTACTGCGAAAAAGATTTACTTTTGATCAATATGATCAGTCACTGAAGTTTGAAGCATTCAAAACTATTTCCTCTCCAAACACCATTCCATCTTTTATATTAAGTTTGATTCTTATTCACACCAATGATGGTATATGGGGCATATACAAGTATATATGTATGTATATATACTTCATTTTACTTCAAGCTTTCCATTTGTTGCGCATTATTATGGCTTACCAGATAGGAAGTGAAAATCTTAGCACATTCACAAACACACAAACGATGAACGACAGTCCATGTAGTGGCGAAATACCAGAGCACTAGTTCCATATTATCGTTCATTTGATTGGCTGCACTGTTGGTCGATATGTCAATAGAAAGATTCTGAATAACATAAAAGACTTTTCTTAAAATAGCATTCTTTAAAATCAATTGTTTGATGCCGCGAAGGATACTGGCAACTAAATAAAGAACCTCAAAATCTGACTATTCACTAAAAAGTTATAGGCACTTTGATGATGTTACAAGTAAAAATAAGTAGAAGACCTTTAGCTCACAAAGTTAAGTTGCAGAAATAATAGCGGCTAATATAAAATAAGCTCGCTATATGTATATATCCCAGCTATAAGTATACGATGAGGTCAAACAATAAATCTGAATAAACCAACGAAATGCATTGATAAATAAACGTATAACTCTTACGCAACATGACTAATGCATTTTTATACCCTGCACTACGGAAGGAGCTGTGACAGATGTGTACATATTCTTCATCAGTGTGAGAAGACGATTCGGTAGATAAAGCCATGTCTGTCTCGGAAAGTATAAGAGCTAGAATAACCAAACTTGGATTTAAATATTCTCCTAAGCTTTACGCACTTTGTGTTTATTTACTGTCTGTTGCACAACCTACTCCCCACTAAGTTTTTTACTTAAATTTGTCAATTACTTTTTTAACCGTTTTATATGTTTTCATGTCCAGCTAGCTGCCATTGGTTCTTGGGAGTAATTGGACGTAGAGCCCCCTGCACTCCAGCATTGTATTCCTGTTTGCGTCTAAAGCTCCTAAAATGTTAATTCCGATCTGAATGCTAGATTCTTGGTAATATAACCAAACTGACCTATATCTATTGAGAATTCAAAAATTTTTCGATTAGCAGAATTGTACAAGTATTTATCGTTCGGCCCAAATTAGTTCACAATTTTGTTCGTTCGTCACTAAGTTTATGGAGCTTGTGAGCTTATGAGTTTTTATAATCGGAATCACAAATGTACATACTTAGATACGTAAACAAAGAAGCTGTAGTCAGTCACGTTCGGTTTTGTTGCCGAGTGTAATCGAATACCAATTTGGCTAATAAGAATTCCTATTGATCCCGCAGGCTGTGCTGTTCACTGCTCTGCTCTGCTAAGCTGAGCTGCGCTGTGCTGTGCTGTGCTGCTTTTCCAACTCAGAAGCAGCGTCAAAGAAACGGTAAGGTCCCAGTTCGGTGCGCTCGTTCCACTCATTCCACTCGTGGCGCGGTGCGTGCTTCGTTTCGATTCATGTGGTCCGCCAATTCGAAGCTACCGCTGCTGATCGGGCCAAAAAGCAAGCAAGCAAGCAAGCAAGCAGCGCCGTTTCTGGCTTTATCATCGCAGGCGGCCTCGGCCAGCCCCATTCAGTGCTTGTTGTGCATTCGGCAAGAGCTGACGTCGTAGCCTCGCGCAGATCGCGTTGTAAAAAGTGCCTCAGAAGAGACTCAACTGTGCTTCGCAGAGCTGCCCGTCTAGTGTTTCCGGCACTAGCCTCTGGTCCAGGCTCCTACAAAAACTCTGCGTGCGTGCTCTGTGCCTTTTCCAATAAGAATAACCATCCATATATATTTCTAATTACAAATATTTTAAAAAGAAGTACAAACTTGGTTAGAAATTCTATATGGAAATTTCGTAGCTTTTTTTTCTGTTTTTGTTTTGAAAATATTTAATGACTGTGTCAATTAGTGACATGGCTTTTATATTTTCTTTTTGACCAAATTTGCAGTTACTTATCGAATTAATGGGAAAGTGTTAACTGCTTCTTAATGATTGTTAATAACAGCTTCTTCTTTAGTCATTTATTTTTATTTTTTTTGTACATCGCAGTGAAATTCAAACGACAATAGACAGCGAATCAATAAAAAGTTAATATTATGAAATATATTGTACGTACAGATATGCAAATATTTAATATTTGCAATATTGCGTGTGCACTTTTTTTGTAATTTGGATTTCGATAATAATTGTGCATGTGTGTGTATTGTGTGTTATTGTGTGTGTGTAAGTTATAGGTACGATCTGGCGGATTTGGCAACTCATTTGTGTTTATTATTATTTATCTGCCAAATTGAACAAGTCAGTAATAAGAATGCGAAAAAAATGAACCTGTTCCGTATTGTTTTCTCGCCACCTCTGTTCTGTCGTTAATCGCGCACAAAATTCGAAAATTCGAAAAGGCTCAAAATTGAGAAACACGCACACACCCATCGACATACTATTTGTACGGGTACATACATATGTATCTATCATATGCCATATATTGAGGTAAGCTGATTTATTCTGTTAATTATTTGCATATATCTTAAATCTATTTAGAGATCTCAAGTGGGGGCAGCTTCACAAATAAACGCAAACAAAAAACAAACACAGTTGAAACCAAAGCGCGTGCCGAACATAATATACCCTAGAAACGATCCATATCTTAGTGATATAGATTATAGATGCATGATTTTGTTGTTTATATTTTATTTATTAATCCGATTTGGTAACGACTGAAATTGAATTTATATTCAATTACAAATTGTTTCAATTATATGACGCGTTATTATTTTCATCTCAATGGATGAAACGAACAAACGTCTACAACTGATATTAAATTAGGGAATTATTTTAATTTTCAAATTCTGTTACTTTTTGTTTTTAATACCAAATGATAAAATAAATAAATTAATCCAAATAGTCTACAATGTTCTAATAATGTTTGAAGAGTTTTGAAACTCTCTAACTTGGCGACGCCTGTTCGGTAGTTAAGGACTCTTAGCTGGGTTTTTATAAGTCTTGCTCCTCAAAACAGTTAAGATGTTACGATCACAACTGCCTAGAACGATAAGGCTCTTGGCAAGGGTATTTTTCAATTAATGCCCGCTGATGTGGTTGATGGGGCTTAGACAATCCACACAGTTTATTGATTTGGCATGAATAAAATAAATGTTTGGCATGTACGAGTATGTGGCTGTGCGCTTTGACTTAATGGGCGATTCTAATGCGCTAATTGCTGACAAACAGCCAGACAGCGGCCATCGACTAAATCGAATTGAATTGAGTTCTAGGTGCTAACTAATCTCAATGAAATGCCATTGAGGCTTAGCACAGCCTTTGCCCCCGCGTTCATTTTATGGCTACCCCCAAAGTATGAGTTGCCTGAATTTAAATGAATGAATGAAGTGAATTTTCAAGCTATCGCCCGATGAGCATCAAATGGGTCAGTTTTCTGCAACGCTGAGCAACCGCTGCGCCACTTCCGACCAACCAACGATCCACTGCCAACAAGCGAGCGACCAACTGTAACAATCTTGAGGAGTCCAAGACAGAGGCTGAGGCTGAGTCTGCGGCTGAAACTACCGTCAGCTCAAGGTTGGGGGCAGCCGCCTGACCTTGCCAATGAAATCGTGTGGCTTAGAACCAATTTTCTGCACAATCGTGTGCACATTTCGTTGTGGTTGGCCATTCGAGATTGGACTTGACCAACTTTTTTGTTGCTGTTTCAAATTTAGAACTCGCAGCTCATGTGCATCCAAAGAGATTGGCAATAGACTATGAACTGCTTTGCCATTTGATTTGATTTGGCATTATTCTTTGTTATGGCCAATTACAAAGTCGACCTCACAATCGCGCTCTCTGAACAAAAGTAACGGCGCTTGGCCTCCAATTTATTCTAACGCGTCTGATTTTGTTGTTTTTGCTTCGTTTCCAAACTCTTTCATCATAAATATTGCCTCAAACTTGTCATATTTGCTTTTAGCCAACCCAGGCCAGGCCGGGCCGGGCCGGGCCGGGCCAGTCCCAACCCAACCCAATTTCTTGTTCACCTCGAAACCAACGATTTTCAGTAATAACTTCCTGATTCCATCCGCCCAACTCGAAGCAGTATGATATGTAAATCGCGCACATTTACAAATCACTCTTGATATTCTAGATCTCAATTCCCATTTTTATTTATCAAATACAAGTATATTCACGCTTCAAATATTTGTTGGCTGGTTGGGGAGTTCAAGTTAGTCTACTTATAGTTACAAGATATCTCTTCCCTGTCTTAACTCTGCCGAATTTTTACTTGCAACGATTGTTTGTGTGATTTCTTTATAAGTGTTCTAAAGCCACACAGGAATGGTTAAGATATAATATTTCAAATCTTCTGATCCGTATTACAAATGCTAAAAATACTCTTTGTTTATTGAAAACAATTATGTTCTTAATATTCAAGATATTTCTATATACTTGTAGTTAAAAAAATGTGACAACAAAAATATTGAAGAAATTGTAAATATATATCAACAATATCCTTTTTTTTACATTTATAAAATTTTTAAAGCAGTATTCTAAAGCAATATCCTTAGAAATAGAAATTGGTTTTGCGCAACTGTAACAAATTTTTTGAAAAATAAATCATTTGAAGAAAAGTTCAGACAGTCTGCGCGATACAAAAATGAATCTAAAATGTCCTGAGTCCGAATAGATTGGACAAATTGTTATTATATATGCATAAGTTAATCAATATAATGATATTTCTGAAATATATGAAATACAATATTTGCAATCTTCTAAATATAGTAAGAATAAGTGAATAATTTAACTCTTCCTGCCCACTGTTCAAGGCGTAGAATGTGCTTCTTTTAAGTTTCTATCGCGCTTGCCTCGTCAGATATGTTATTAGAAATTCTTTATTACCTTTCACTGATGGAATTCAATAATTCTTGATTGGTCCAAATAATTTCTAGTGCTAGTGATTGGATTTTAGGGCTTTCATTGTGGGTTATCGTTGTAAATTCAACGTGAAACTGCACAATAATATTGGATAATATGTTTTGTATTTCTAATTGGAAGATATGAAACCCTAGTTAGTTTTCGCTGATGGATCCCACAATATTCAGAGCTATGCTGGGCTTCTGGTATTTAAATCAACATGTACTTATACTTAGTTTAGGCTGCGACCCAATACAGAGTTAGGTTTCTAATTCATTCTCGATTTTTAACAGTCGCATGCGATTTTCGAAGTGATTCTTAGTGATAATTATTACATTCTAGGGCTTGCATTGTGGTTCCTAATTTTTGATATTCAACTTGGAAAGTAATGTTTTGAGCGTCTAATTGGCGAGCGTATTTGCTTGTGCCATTTGTTTTTTTTTTTGGCAATCGGTGGTGCTAAGTGGCCTCTTTATTGATCCAACTTCTGGGCCGTTGCAATACTTATGCTTAGTATTCGTCATTTGGCCAATTGGCAGTTTGCGATCGCGATCGCGTTCGCCGTCGCAGTCGCTGTCAAGTCTGGCGTACGTTTGGCGAGTGATTGGCGCGTTTTTGCGAAGGTTTTTGGTCAAAAAGCGTTGCATTGGCCGTATAAAAATGCTTAACGGCACTTTTGGCAGCCGCCTGTCTGCCTTCCTTTTATATTTATTTTTAAATGCGGTCTTGTCTCTATTTCTTGCAGGCTGTTGATGTTTTTTTGCGGTCTCTACATGTGTATTATTTTATTTTATAATGTGCTGGAAGCCAAAAGGCACAGAGACACTTGTTAAGCACTTTCAAAAAAGTCACAATTGATTGATTTTAAACAATTGTTTTATTTGATATATTTTTTTTTTGCCGCTACCTACCGCTACCAAATTCAATATCAAGTGGCAATAAAAAATAAAAACTAAAAATAACTCAAACAAAAAACAAAAAATTAAAAATTATTTGCAAAAAATTGAAATGAATTCGAAGCCAAGCTCCTCGCTAATTAGACACTTTGTATGTAGTATTTGCGTGCATGTGTGTACGTGTCTGTACGTGTGTGTGTGAAAGTGTGTAGCGAAAACAACAACAACAACAACAACAACAAAAAGAGCAGCAGTAAAAATGGTTGGCCAACAATTTCAACATTTCTAAAAAATTAACTGCAGCCAAAAACTGAAGCAAGTCCAACCACCCTCCAGAAAATTTCATCAATAAGCAGGCAGGCAACAACAATAATAACAACAACAACAACAACAGCACTAACTTTGACAACAATAACAACAACAACAACAACAAAAAGTGCCATTGCTGCAAGCAAGGCTCAGAAAGTGTCTTTGCTTTTATTTTTTTATTTGACTGTTGTTGGTGCTATTGGAGTTGTTGTTTGTTTGTTGTTGCTGCTATTGCTGTTGTTGTTGTTGGTGGTTCACTTTTTTCGCTGTTGTCTTTTATTTTCAATTTTTGGTTTTTTATTTTCTTTTGGGGCCTTACTTGCAGCTTTCTTGCATAATAAACAAGATCAGCACAATGTGCAACAAACATTAGGCCAATGGTGCGGAGCACGGATAACAGCAACAGCAACAACAACAACAACAACTGCTACAAATATAGCAACAACAACAACAACAACAACAGCGCAAGAGTAATAGCCACATTTGCGACAGGGGGAGACAAAACCACCAGGCCAAGACACATTTTTGTGGCAGCGGCGATTTTTGCTCTCATTTTACTTTTCTATGCCGTCAGTTTTGTGCGCTGCACGCGGCCGCTTGTGGCATGTGGCATGGGGCATGGGACATGAGGCACGCTCTACACTCCACACTTCATGCCGCATACCACTGGACGATCAACAGACAATCAGCAAAGCAATGCCAAACACAATAACAATGCATCAAGAACATCGATACAAAGCAATAGAAGTAGAAGTTGTCGATGTCGCAATAGCTTTAAAGTTTAAACAATGCCCGACCATTATTAGTCCTTAGCTAATCAGATTCCTTTGATATAACATCGAGGTAGAGCGCCTTCCTCAAACCTTAAACGAACCTCCTTATAAAACAAAAAATAAGCAGTATTTTGGAAACTCTAGCCATATATCGATTGGGCAAGGTACTTTATACGCCCAGTTATGTACATATGTATATGAAGAGCTATATAAAGGGACATCCATTTCGAAAGACATACACTTCCTATTCCTTTACAGTTTACAGTTAAACTCTTAGTAATTTAAATAGGGGAAAAATTATGTTGTAGAATTTATTATAGAATTTATTATCCTTAATTTAATTACTTTTACTTTTAATATATTTTATTTGATAAATTCGATTTGATTCCCATTTGATTCCTTTTCCTATTCCTTTCCTCTTCATTACAGTTAAACTCTTAGTAATTCAAATTGGGTAAACATTATTTTGAAGAATTTATTATGGACTTTCAAATATTTATTTATTTATAGAATTTATTATCCCTAATTTAATTATTTTTATTTTTACTTTTAATATCTTTTATTTGATAAATTCGAGTTGATTATATTTACTTATTTCCTATTC